GCGTAACCTCGGTCGACATTCGTACGACATTAATGTAAAGATGGAAAATCTGTTAACAAAATTTGTTGCTGAAAGAGAATTATGTATAGTCGCTTAACATCATTGAGGTTGTCGTCTCATATAGAAAGAGAAAATTACGTGTAGTCGCTTAACGTCATTCAGGTTGTCGTCGCATATTTGTTCTATCCGGATCAGTTGGGAGCGCGTTACCTAGACCACGCTGCGTGCTGGGGGTGGCTTCCAGAGATTCTGGAGCGGCGAACTAGTTCGTTGCCGGAAGTGGATTGTCATCGGGGGAGGTTGCCGAGATCTCCGTCTTTGGTGGAGTGGGCGTCTACCTTTTCCTAGTGTGCGTCAAGCTCAAGGTGATGGCGAAATGTGCAGCTTCGATAGAGGCGGAGACAACGACCGACGAAGCGCCAACTCAAGAACACGTGCTACAGCAAAAACGACGCCGTAAGGCGCAATACATGCGTGAATACAGGGCCAAACACAAGCAAGCCCGCCTTCTTGCAAACCGTAACGACGAAAGATGTAGTCACGAAGAAGACCAGGACGCCGTGACAAATAAGAATAAAATGAAGAAAAAGAACACCGACCGCATGAGAAAGCAGCGTCAAACGCAGAAGAAAAAAACAGGAAAGGATATAGTAATTATTTTATTTTAACGTTTTATTGGTATATTAACTTGAGCATGCGTTGTACATGCAGCACGTGCGGACCGGATAGATAATAATTGCCATGCCCCTGATATTCATGCTGGTCGTGGTGATAGCTTGCAAACATTGGCGAGTTCGATACTGGAAAAAACATTCCATTTCCAAAGATGAAATTCAGACGATGATGGAGGGCCAGAATTTTACGAGCGACCCAAAGTTGGCTTTAATTTACTATTACTGCTGTGGGGGACAACCAGATGCATTTGTTTTCAATGATGAGCATGTTCGCGATGATGAAAATGTGCGAGAAAGGTTACTGGATGCATTGGATTCACCTTTGGGGAAATCGGAATATGAGCGCTGCCAGACATCTGCGACTTCACTGGATCCGTCTCAATCTGGAATTTTCGCTTGTGCTTCCTGTTGTGAATTTCTTGTTGGCCCCCGAAGTAACCACGTGTGCTTATCTTTATCGCAACTTTCACAATCGTTTCGAATTTCAGATGAGGAGTACGAATCGCGCTATGGCCATTTATCAGATGATATTGCGAAAAGTCACGCTCAAGTTTTTTATCATCCGGACGGGAAAAAATACTTTTTGAATCCGAAATTAGTACGAGACACAGAGCGAATTCATTTGTGCGCGAGGTGCGCATATAACCCTCGCAAGTCGAAGTTCAGTCTCGCTAACGGTCATGATTATGGTCGCTATGGCTCGCTTCCTGACTTAAGCCCGGTAGCGAAAAACTGTATTGCGCCCGCTCGATGCTTTGGATTGGAATTTTCGATTTCTGGAAAGCACTGTAGCGGACACTCGATTTGTTTTCCGTCAAGTGGCCCACAGGCATGCACAAAAATTCTACCGGTGATGAATATTGATCGCAAGCCGCGTGTCACGTTTATTGGCCCTACGGAAGAGTGGAGAGCACGAAAACACTTATTCCGGGGATTGTACGAGCTACCAAATGAGAGTTTTTTTTCGTGGTTGAATGTGCTGAAAGAGACCCATAGTTTTTTTCGGAAGGAATGCATTGTAATCGACGACTCACTCTCTGCAAAGCAACGGCTGGCTGATCTGCAAGATTCAATTGAGAAAGGCGTTATTGTCAGCGATGCCGGTGCTTTGCATGCAGTTGACGATGCTGTCAATTCCGAGCGTTTTAAGACTGATATAACCACGGGGGAGTCGCCAGAATTGATTATTCAGCAATCGGCTGTGTTACAACCAGCAATGTGCCATGGTGATAAGGTGGGGTCCGTAGTTATTGATGCAATGATCAATGCCGTTGGGGAGCAAGATGATATTGCAGTGGTTCGAAGAGGTGTAGACCCTATCGTGGAATGGGATGAAAATGGTTATATGATCGCCGGAGCCTTCCCTACTTTGTTTATGATGGGCGGCGACATGCTTCCTTCCGGATCGTTTTCACTAGGTTTGATTGACCACTTGATGCGCTATTATGACGGAAGATTTGAAAACAACGTCACGCTTATCGCGACGCTCTTAAATCAGATGCAACGGCATGTCGAGGTGCGAAAAGCAGCCAGGGCTTCAACGACTCATGCAAAGACGCTGCAAAAGCTGGGCCAATTAACAAGTGGTGTCGAATTTAGGAAGTCTCTTCTGGCGGCCAAGAACAACCCTGATTCACCTGCAGCCAAACGACTGAATGCAAGCTTGCTGCGGATACTGTCCGTCGTTGGGGAACTATTCCATTTTCACCTTTCGAGCGTGCTGGAACACGTCCCAAACTGCCTGCTATGCGTTTTCGTTTTGGACTTCCGCAGTTTTGGGTGACTGTAGCGCCACCGGAACAGGATGATATTACATTACACCGGATCATGCTTCTCAGACAGTTAAATGCGTGGAATTATGAGGAGTGTACGTATGGTCAGTCACAATGCCGGTGGGCGCAGTTACCTAAAAACCTGAAAGAAAGTCCTAGATTGCGACTTTCCATATCAAATAAATGCCCTGCTCTGGCTGCGTTTATGTTTGAAAGGAAGATGGAGCTGATACAGAAGGCAATTTTGCGATGCCCAGCTTCTGAAGACACGAAAAAATGTCGTAATTATACAGAGCGGGAGGCTGGTGCTTTTGGGACTGTAGCTGGATTTAATGGTGTTGTTGAGCCCCAAGTGGATGGACAGTTACACTTGCACATGACCGTTTATGGCTCATCGTTTACACCTGAGATTTTGACGCGTGGGGATTCAAGTGAGGAGTTACTGCTTTACATTGCGGAGTGGCTAAATTCAGTCTGTACTAATCACTTGACTACCGACACGAGAGAGTGGCTAACGGAATGCGGAAACAGAGGTGGTTCATTACCGCGTGCTTGTGAGGTGACGTTACCGCCGGCTGGAGACAATTTGGCTGCCTTTTATCATGCGGTTGAAAAGTCTATTGTCACGACAAACATTCACAGTCACTCAAGAACTTGCATAAAAGGCAAGCGTGGACAATCTCAATGCCGACTCTGCCGTCCTGCAGGCATCCACAACCAAAATACACAGCCACTGCATGTCAGCAAGAGCAATGGTGCATACACGGGACAACCTCTGAGTCCAGAACAGGAAGCAAAGCTGGACGCTGGTTATGATACAGCAAAAGGTGAATTTCTGCGGCCACACATTGCTGGTCCGGTTGTATGGGAGCAATTTCGCACACCACCGAATGGTATGTTTATTGAAACAAATATGCTGTTATCAGGCTTAACCGGATCGCATTGTAACTCGAGTGTCATGAATGGAGAAGATGCAGGAGACATGGTTGATCAATACCAGCAGAATTACATGACTAAAGAAGGTGCGGGTTGAAAAATGCCGCTGTGGTAATGCTAACGGCTTTGGAAGATACACTTAAGTATCCGAGTGTAGCTCCTGACAGTGGGGCACCCATGAGACAAGGGCAATACTTGGCGACAAGAACGGTAAATGCTTTTGGAGGAGCGCACGAGTGGCCACTATCTCTTATGGTGTATGCTTTACTTGGTGACAAATCGTACGTATCGTCAGAATCGTTCTGGTATATCTTTCCGCATGGGTTCATTGATGAACTTCGGAAGTCAGAGCATGGCACTGTTGCTGGTCATACCAGTGATACTCGTGGGAGTAATTCGTCTACGGATAGTGGCGATGACAGCACTATTGATGGAAATTTCGACGTGGATGCATTTATGGATTCCGGAGAAGGGGTCGATGCAACCACCCCCATAACCGAAGCTCTTGAAGAACTAGCAACCATTGCCCAATCCGAAAATTTGTCTGATATTAGCCTTGGATTGAACGAGCGGCACACAACAGGTGGAGCACGTGGTTATAAGGTTGATGGGTAGTTGATTTTTGTTACTCAAGTGGAGTCATATAAATTCCGTGGGGTTCACTTTGTGGACTATTCGCCAACAGAATTTGGTTGTATTGTTGACATTATACCTCGTCAAAACGCCGTAGGAGGGACGTCTTCACGCGGCCGTAAACGCCGTAAAACCTTTGATTTGGATCCTAAACACCCTCTTTACTCTCATTACGAAGCTGTGATACGAGTGAAGATGTTAACACCAATGTTTGGGGGGAGGTCACCTCCGACAGTTTCTCGTAAAACAAACGGTCGATGCAAAATGAATGGACTTGCCAGATACATTATCGCGGTTACAGTGCTTTAGGAAATCCCGCTCATCGAGAAAACATTAAAGGGTTACAATCTATGTTTTGCTCCTTGATGGGCATTGACGAAAGTGGAGAAGAGAAAGCTGGTGCTGGAAATGGAGCGATGTCTGTGTCATCATTGCGGGAGTGCGTGTACCGAGACGAAGCACTCGTACACCCTCAAATAAGCTTACAAACGATCGCACAGCGGATCCAGAGAATGTCGTTACGTAATCATGGCTTACGTCCAAATACTGCTGATTCATCTCGGCAAGTTGAAACCGGTGGAGTCACGGACCCACTGACAAATTCTGTGCCACTAAGGACAGAAGCCCTACCGATAACATCACCTGAGCAGCAAGAAATCATTGATTGGATCTTAACTAACTTGGACAAGCCAAAGCCTGAACAAACCCTTACACTGATGCATGGAGGAGCAGGCACTGGGAAATCGTTTGTTATTCACAAGCTTCAAGAAGAATTGCTTAAACGAGGTCTGAAGCCCGTGATAACTTGTCCGACTGGAGCTGCTGCAAACCAATTTCCAGGTGGTCAAACTTGTCACGCTGCTTTCAAAGTTGGTCGCGAACGAGACCATATTTCTGCAGCAAAACTGGCTGAACTACGTCTCGTATTCGATAATTCTGTGGGCCTTATTGTAACAGATGAAGTATCTATGCTTGGTGGTGAATTTTCAGTAAAGGTGGACAAACGATTGCGACTAGTGTACAATCCTGATCTTCCATTTGGGGGTAAATCAGTGCTATGGGTGCGTCTCAATAAATTTGGACGTTTTTATTTTTTAACTCGTTGTACTAACACGCTTAATGATTTATAGGCTGGAGATTTTCTACAATTTGAGTCTCTCATGGGGACGCCATTGTGCAAAGTGATGTACAAGCTGAACGCGAGTGCCGACATAATTCATGCACGAGACCTTTTCAGGCGCTTTCGGGTGTTTTTTCTGAAGTCTCAACAACGAGCGCACGGTTGTCCTACTCAGCAACGCATACTGGACCGGTTTCGGGAACTCCCACCAACATATCCTGGAAGCCCAAACTCTGGCCAAGATTTTTAGCTCCTCAATGATTCAGTAGTTGATGCTGTCACGAATGAACTCACAGCTCGAGACGTCGACGGGGACCCAGGCTGGATGGATGAAACCACTGTGTTGGTTACTAGTAACGTTGACAAAGCGGCTTTAACAGCATGCACCGCTCGCTTACTTGCTCTCCGAACGATTACGGTGGTATTTCGGTGGAAAAAGCCGATTCCTGACGTTCCGCCGGCATTGTTGGAGCTACTTTACAATGAAAAAGACTATCCAAACTTGTTTGGTTACTTCGTGCAAGGAGGATGTGCTCAAGTGCTTGATAATGGAAATGGCAACGTGGAGTGGGGCGTAGCAAATGGCACAAGGTGCAAGTTAATATCACTGGCCTGGAATGATGCAAATGATACCGAAACAGTACTTCAGTACATAGCCACCATCTCGGTCGAATGTGGAGCCGTGATTGACCTTCCATGTGTGCCAGATTTTATAAACGTACAGCTCGTAACTCAAGCGGGGGGATGTCATTCCTGCTACAACGTGGCCAACAGAAAACAGTCTGGAATGCAACTGGAAAACTGGTGTTGATGGTCATACAAAGGAAAAAGTAGTATTATCATTCCAGTCGGAGTCATCACTAGCAATCAACAAAAGTACTGTATCAAGCTAGCTCGGACGCTCATACCGAGGACAATCGAGATTAAGTACTCTCAACTTGCGGTTGAGTTAGCACTGGTCATGACTGTATGGAAAGCTCAAGGGGCAACTCTCCAAAGGGTTTTACTGTACCTTGAAGGTACACCCGGATCACCAAAGTGGTTTCTAGATCATCTCTATGTTGGAGCTTCACGAGTCAAATTTTCTCGCTTCTTGCGCTGCCTTCCGCTCTCACCTACCATCAAAAAAGTATTTTGAAGGGGCTGAAACCAAATGTTGACACTACGAAGTGGCGCATGGACATTGGCCGCGATGGGTACTGGCGGCCTCATAGTAATAATTGCTAACATATATGGGTTATCTCGTGAAAAAAAATACTTTTTGTTGGCAGTTGACGTTAAAACATGTTGAAGATCTACCTTCTTCAATTGCCAAGAAAATTCTTCGGTTTTTATAAGCGCTATCCAACTGGCACAGCATATCTACTCGCCTCTGTGGCTCGACATAACGCAATTTGCAACGAAACAAAACGACCTCCACTGCCAGGCACTATGGACATTGACGGCATCCCTATTCCAAAAGACTATAAGTCGCCTCTTCAAGAACGTGGAGAGAGCAAAAAAAGACACCCCAAACAACCGATTCCTACTCGTAAAGGTAGTTAGTTTCCCATGTCATCTCTACTCCATTTGATTCTACAATTCACGGTACTTATACTCATATTACTTTATTTTCTTAGCCTTTATCGACTTTGTGCACAAGTCACCACCAAGTGCGGACGACACTTATATATACGGAAGATACATATGGAAAAGTGACCACGTTCTTGCTGATGGTCGTCGTCTAGTCCGAGTCCACATGACGGACCTGTTTGCTCCTGAATCGGCAGACAAGCTCAAAGAAGTACATATCACGTATCACCTTTCTCCCTCTCTGTACATTTATCTTTAATTACTAATTTGCGTGTTTTCAGATGTACGAAGATAAGTACGCCACTCAGCAGTACTCTGTGGACAAAGACCCCTTGACGGGCACGATTTGGGTCTCCAATGATAACAAGCCGGACTTTCCTCTGCGTGGTGAGAAGCTGAAAGTCTTGCGCTTTACGAACCCAAAGGTGTTTCGAGACGAGTGCTGTCAATTTACTACACGATTTCAAGATCTTAGTTTCGAGCGAACGACTGAAACGGGGCCAATCACTACAAAAGCTGGTAGCACCTCCGATGGTACGTACACTGAAGCCGAAGAAAAGCCTTCCACCGCCCCGCCTACTCTTGCTTCCAAAGCTGATTGCACCACCAATATGATTAATTTCTCGGAACCCGTTCCCTTATTCGAGGAATCGGTCGTAAATTCGGTCGAAAACTTGCATGAGAAGGTGTTCGACGGTCCTATGAAGGTTGAACCCGACCTAAAAATACGTAAGCTGTAGTAGCTGCTATCGATGCCAGTAGGTTTGATCGACCAAACCGTTTTAACACAATGTACTAGGGACCTTTTACATTAATCAGAAATCTGCAATTTTGCCAACAAGTTTTCATTCCAAAACAATAATATAAACTATGTTATTTTTTTCTTGTTTGTTGTATTCATGAAAACTATTTTGGATATTTCATATATTTGGAAAATATTTGACATTTCCTGTGCTTGAAAAAGATCTTCAACAGCTATGTGTATGTCACATTATTTCAAACGTAAAACTGTGACGGCAAAAATAACCGTGCCGAAACCCGAACGATGCTGAAAAAAAAATAACACCCCTTACTCTTCTTCTGCTTCCGCCAGCACATATTTTTTTTCTCAAACGCACTTCCTGGACCAATACACTTCCGAAAATACTTACGCACGATATTTTGCGGAAGAGCTCGCATGGGCTCACAGGTATCCGCCCAACGCACTGTTGCCACGCATCCTTCCTTAGTGTAGTCGTGAGCGACAATTTCCTTCACAGAATACGCAGGTTGATCGCTTGGAGACTCTGTAGTCACGGATAGACCAGCCGCCACTAACGTCTTGCGTGTCACCTCGCGATTGGTTTTCGCACGAAGCGCGTACAACATCTTGGACAACACTGCTTTTATTTTGTTGTCGCTTCAGGCACCACAACTCACGACATGAGCCTTCACCACCTTGGCCGCAGACTCCGGTAGCCATAAACCCTTGAGATTACTATCATCCGAAATCATAGCGATGGCTATCGCCATAAACTCCTTCTTTGTCATTTTTGCGGTCTTCTTACTAGGCATCGCGAGATTGCAGAATGGTTGGTTTCCAACCATAATTTAGTGATTCATTTTCTTTTAATTTCCGCGATATCAGTTTACCTCCTTCAATCACTGACTTTCTATCGCTGACCTCTCGCCATTCTTCCACAAAAATTTCTAGGTGAAGATACTTGGAAGAATACCTTTAACGTCCTGAGTATTTTTTTCCTTGAAAAACTCTGGTTGTATATTAAACACAAAGAAGCTTCGTATGCTTTCGACGGATGGAGTAGCGTTTGGTCCGCAATGGCTCGGGTCTTATGCAGTCGCTCATTTTGTCGCTTGACCTGACGCTGCACCAGCTGTGTAATGCGCGAGTGCCTTCACGTTTTCTGAGCTCGTACCCTCGCCTCACCACGTCAGCATCTCCGTCGCTTCATTCAAAGTGGTGGGACATACTTAGTAAGTCGAAGCTTACCATACGATTTGTATGGTAGTGGGCTCCAGTAAGTAAGTCAGAGCTTACCATACGAAAAAAAAAAAACATTATTTATACAGAAAGCTTTCTTAAAGTAACGCAACGAACAACTAAAAAATGTATTCCCAGTGTAAGTCGCAGACGATCTAGTTTGGAAATTGATCTCAGCGACGATCGCGCGAGACAGCGACGCC